TGAGATACATTACACCAATGGCTTCCTGCAAATGAAAGGGAAGTCCAAAACCAGCCCCTTCCTCCAGGGAAGTCCAAAACCAGTGTAACCTCTTGACCTTGTGGATGCCTGGTTTTGTGCTTCTCTGGAACTTCTTTCTTTTGGACCAAGCAAACACATTTTGTTCATTCTCTGTCCATGAGCCATATTTTCTAAACCTGTCTGCATTCTTGTTTATACTATGATTTGCACAACTCATTCTTAAGTACATGACACCAATAATTGAAAACACAATAGCAACAAGGGCCAAAGACAGATCATTACTGTTTCTTGTGTAGAATGACAATGTAGAGTAGCACATTCTTGTTTTGCAATGACATCATGGTAACTCATGATGAGTTTCTAGCTCCATTATAGCCCAGAGCTCCACCTCTGCCATTCTGCAGGTAGTCATATCTACCAGTAGCTCCTGCTGTTACCTAATCAGTTATTCTTTTTATCAGTGCCTTTGATTTCTCCTTCCTGAATGCAGGCAATTGCACTGGCCTGTTGGAGCTGATGTTCTGAACTCTCCTTGAATTTTATCCTACATAAAAGTAGCCTGAGACAGCCCTCCAAACTGCTTCTAGCTCGTCCCATCTTCTAAGCCCTTAATGAAAGACCCCTCTGCTCTCTTCCCTGTGATAACACAAAACCATTCTCCTGCTGCTGATTATAAGCTGTCTGGATGGTAGTGCAGGGGTTTGGGACCAGACATAACCTGTGAGAAGCAGGTTATGGTAGTTCAAGCAGAGATGATTTCATTCCCACTGGTCATTGTCAGCTTGCTCCTCCGTTTCTGAAAATGAATATTCTGGTAGGTAGTGTTAAATAGCTGCTATTTGCAAAGCATGAAAAATACTTTTCCACGTACTGCTTCTGATCTGTCCCATCAATGTGGGCTTAATATTTCCCCTTGCCACGCTCTCCACAAAGATTTAACATAGTATGGTCATGGAAGATATGAGTCAGAAATGAGGAGTGTGAAACCTGGGTGGCAGGGAGGTTAGAGGGGAGATTGCTGGTGACCATAACATTCCTGCACAGAGTAGTACTGCTGGAAACCTGTGTGTTAGTTGTGCTTCCAAGGCTTTTGTCTGTGGCATCCAGCTTCCACCGCTTTCAACAACTGGAAATGGCCATGGGTATATCTGAGGCTTACTCTGATCCATACTAGCTGCCTGTCAACTCTCTTATAAAGTAATTACCAGAGAGTGATCATGATACAGTCACATCCCCTGCCTCAATGATGCATAAGGAGGTATCAACAGCTATGCTATATTTTATTTTTTTCTGCCTTCTCTTTGCCTCTGCAGTGGTAGGAGGCAGTTGCAGTAAGCCACACCATCACATACACTAGATCTTTAGTGGAGATGAGTTGTCATTAACATGGGATTCCTTGCACAAGCCTTTGCAATGTAGCTCTCAGATGCCCCCATGAGAAGCCTGGTAAAAAGGCTTAGATGTGCTGGCAGGCAGAAGGGCCATGTGTCTGCATCCCACACAGTATTTCTGATGCTGATCAAGAGCAAAGAGATGGCACTTTGTTATGTGAAACCCATCTGGAGAAATGCAAGCAGGTAATAGTAAATAGTACAGGGTTTGCTTTTTCTTGGGCTGGACAAGGGGCAAGGAGGGGGAATAGGGACTGTTTCTGAGGGTGCTGGAAAAGGCGAGGGAAGCCCTGGCCTCACAGGGTGAGGTGTGACACCCTGTAGAAAGGGCTCCTGTTTGTGAGCAGTCATATGGCTCATAGTCCTTGTGCTTTTAGGGGCTCTGTGGCTTGAGTTTGCACCCCTCCATTCTCTCCTTCCACCCATGTGATTGATATTTTCAGTGACTTATCACTTGTGTTAACTCTTTACTTTTTCCTCTTCTCTCACAGGCCAGGGAAGGAGAAGTAGCCATTATAGATAAAGTTCTGGATAATCCAGCTTTGACATCTAGGGACTTTCAAGAATGGAAACAAATGTACCTCGATCTCTTCATGGACATCTATCAAAGCAACACCCCGAGGGACTCTGTTAATGGCTCATCTGAGGTTGATGCCCTTATAGCCTCCTTAGCGCACACTCACTCTTATATAGAAACGCATGTATAAAAGTCTCTCTTTTGTCCATTTGCTACACTCCAGCCCTTTACTGAAGTGCATAAAGTAGTTTTTATATCCATATGTGAGAGCTCTAGTAAATTATATTTTAATGTTACTCAGCTGCGTGAAGTAAACCTTCAATGGTCAACAATTCCACTTCTTTAATGAAGATTTGTATATTTTATATGCTACCAATGCTCAGCTTGTGTTTACTTTCTGTGAATTAACAAACATGATCTTTAGCTATTAAAGAAAAGGATTTAAAAGCATTTTTGGAAGACTGTGGCCTTCATGCAGGAAGTTCCACGTGCTAAAGCTTTTGTTATTGGTCATTTTACAATGATATTTTATATTATATAATTCCAGTATTGCATTGCATTTTTGGAGTGCAGGTACTATTTTGGTGGTGGGAGAAAACCAATTTTTATATTTAATGCGAAACTCTAGGAGTTTTCTTAAATAACAGGGAAAAAGTGTAATGCAGTGTATATGTTTCAGTTTTGTCTAGCACAAAAAAGGGTGAAAATCAGCAGACAGAAAAGGACTAATGTGAATTTAAGTATCAAAAGGTTAGTCTTATTTCCTTGTGCTTTTTTAAAGCCTGTTGCTGAGGTTTACCATCAGTGCAAAGGGATGATGGTTTTTATTATAATTAAAACAAAATTGTGTGTTGTCTCTTGATCACACTAGGTTGATTTAAAAAGAAAAAATTAGCCCAGGTACTGTGATTGATGATGCTTTTGCACTGAAGGTATCAGTATAATGTGCAGATTTTGCAAAAGGGAAAATGTAGCCTGTGAACATCCTTGGTAGCAGCGTTTCTTTTGCCCAGAAAAGCAACAGTGGAAAAGGTTCCCAATGAAATGCTCCAAATCTGAGATGCTTTGAAGATTCCCACAATAGAAAAGAAGTGAATAGGATTTTTCAAGTAGTCTCCTATGTGTTTTCTGAGCTGTGAAATTTAGCTGTATTGTACGCAGGGAAGATGTATGATGAGAGTAGAGCTGAGCACAGAACCTGAAAAATAACTGAGGAGTGAAAAAGCCTCTGGTTTGCTTTTGAAGGGGAAGGGATGTCTCTGGGTTCTGCTGAGTTCACAAGCCAATTAAAATGTTTTAAACTTCCATGAGATTTGAGATCTGCTGGAGACAACCCAGTGAATATGAGTGGAAATGGCTCCTTAGAGTCAGGCATATGTCTGGAATAAAAGTAGGAGGGAACTCTTAAGTCACATATTTACTTTTTATGGGCTTGTTTTTGAAAAGTCATCAGAGCATGAAAAAATATTTCTGCTGCTCTTCAGTATTTTGCTGCATAAGCTAGGACTCATGACATGATCTAATAATGCTCATGTGAAAAGGAAAAGCCTCCTTTATACTTTTTACAGCGAGTTGTACTCTTAACCAACTTTAGACTATTGCCTGTACAGCTCAGTGAATGTACTTTAAACTTTATGAGCTCTGTTATTTCCTGGCAGTTATATCCATGAAGGGATGAAGGAAAGAATGGACAGATTTATCTTCTCTCTCCTTCTTTCTTTATTTATTTTATTCCTCTCCTTCTGTCCTCTTTTTCTCTCTCTCTCCCCTTTTCCCTTTTTCTTTCTTTTCCTCCTTCTCCCCCTGTCTCTTTTCCTATCTTGTTATTGCATTTGGATTGCAAATGTTCTGCAGATTTTGCACAACTGTACAGAAGAGTGGCCTTTCTGTAGCCCATTTTCAGTAATCCTATATTCAAGTCGATATGGCTGACAAATCATGTATTAACATTTGTATAGAGTTCTGGATTCAGTGTAAGATTTGTACTATTAGAAGAATATTGTTTGTATAAACTGGACATTTATTTACTGCATGGGTACTGACTTGTATATTAAATTTGTGAGGTTTTTGTAAATTTCTCTTAAAAAATGCTTGACTTGAAATGGATTGTGCTATTGTTCCAAGCATTTAGATCCTCTTGCTATTGTTTTACTGGACCAAAAGTAAATATATTAATATGAAAAACTCTTTATATCTGATGGATGTATATGCACATTGTGTAGTTGATTCCTTGTCAAAACCAAGGCAGTTCAGAAGACTTAGATCTGTTGCTATGCAACAGCCATTCTGCCTGCACTTTACATTAGTAAAGTTAGCTTGATTGCTTTAAAGGTGAAAATTAAACATTACAGTTTTTTAAGCTAGTCTAGTGACAAAGAACATGTGTCCTCTTCATTGTGCTGCCTTCTTTTAAGAGTATTAAATGTTCTTCTATATATATATTTTTATTGTATTAACTCTCAGCCTAGAAAGGGAACACTGTAAAATGAAGTACAATAAATTTAGCTTTTAAATGAACGTTTGTGACTCAATATTCAATTTACTCCATGCCAGAGTTATTTTGTGGTATCTGACCATTCTACCTGCATTTCACAGCTCCACGTACCTTTATGTACCTCTGTTATCCGAGTTCGAACTCTGCCAGCATGGCCAAAAAGGGCTATTGCTGATTCATATGTAGGCAGACGCTGAATAAAGACTTCTGAAAACCTTCAGTTACCTCCCTCCCCTTTTTACTGTTTGATTAAAGTAAACATTTTTTACTACGGGATTCTCTCATGTACCAGTTCAACAGCAACGAACAATTTCACCATTATGAGCAGGTGTGATAAAACACCGGTTGCTACCCAGGTAAAGTGTCAAGGCATTAGTTACAGCTTGTTACTCTTGTAACAAGCTTCTTAGAGTCTGATAATAAGTATACTTATTCAGCTCTGGTCATCTAAACTAACATAGGGTTTGGATACAAATGAAAGGTACAGTACCGGTAGATTGCCTCTTTAAAATGACACAAAATAAGCATCTGGAAAGCATTCTACAACAAAGGCCACTGAGAGAGAAATGGCTTCTATCAAACAAACACTGTTTTAACTTATGGCTGTAACTGAGTCCACATAGCAAAAAATCCACGCTTTCTGTCTAGTAATTTCCTGCTGGTTAGTGAAGACATTCTTGCCTACTATGTAGCATATCAAATAATACCTTTTCCTTGGCTACTAATTCTTGTAGGCATCAATTTTCTAGTCTTTATACAGCTCGCTTTCATTTTGCTTAGCCATAGCATAAAAGCTCAATAGCACTTTACCAACTGGGAAAATTACCTCTGATTAAGAAAACAGAAAAGTTGGATTATATTTTTTAATATATTTAAAATATGACTTGCAACACCTACTAATTTCTATCTAGGTATTACTCTTCAAAAGTCAAGGATTATGATTCTCACTGATCGCCTCTAAATATGCTGCTTGCTACATCCCTGCTCAGTGAGATCAGCTTCTGGCTCTATAAATCCTAGCAGTGTTTTCTGTCCTGGAGCCAGATTTTCTTGCCTGTTTCCACCGAGCATTTGGCTCATCCAAGCAAAAATTCCACTTTCTCCCATTCAGTGCCACTGCAGTTTTCTTCTCCAGGACCGCCCCGCTTGCTCATCTCCTGGGATGGACGTTCCTCAGTGTTGTGAGTTCAGCAGTTGGGCAGCTTCTTGTGCTGGCAGTCACTGTCCTGCTCATCAGCCGTCTCAGGGAGCTGGAGCACGGCACACTGCAGCCCACACCAAGGCAGAGGGGCTTTGCAGATCTCCTCCCAGCCATCGTTGTCAATGTCGTAGCCAACCACGTCTTGCGTGGAGACTTCCAGTGAGTTTTGCCATTTCTTTCCCCCAATAAGAAGAGCCGTTTCCTCTACCACTGCCAGGCCATAGGAAAATCGATCATAGACCAGTGGTCTTAACCGGGTCCATTGGTTTTGGTCAGGGTCGTACCTTTCTATTTCAGAGAATGGTTCATATAATCCTAAAAAGGTGAATATGGATTCCCTGATTGTTGCCATCTGATGCCCAAACCGAGCAATGCTCATTGGGGCTCGTTTCATCCACTGCCCTTCAAGTGAGCTCAGAGAATATACATCATTGCTTGTGCTGGCTGGGGCTGAGTACTTGCCCCCAGAGATGTATATAGTGTTCTTGCAAACAGCACTGGCATGGCCATGTATCTTGCATGGCAATTCCCTGGCCTTCGTCCACCTGTCCCTGCTGATATCATAGACTTCCACAGATGAATGCAGAGATCCATCTTCACCCCTTCCACCAATGGCAAAGATGTCCTTGCCTAAGACACAACAAGAAAACTGGCATCTCTTTTCCAGCATGCCTGTGATTTGAGTCCACGTGTTAAATCTTGGATCATAACGATGGACTTTGTTCGTAACCAATAAGATCTTTTCAGTTTTAGCGTCACCCAGGGAACCGTTTTCTATTTCCCCACCCAAGATATAGAGGAAGTTCCCCACCACGCACACACTGTGGTTCTGCACCCTGTCCTGCAGCTGTGTGAGAGTTCGCCACTTGTGATTGTAAACATCAAAGGCCACCACATCAGTGACAAGCCCCTCACTTGCTGTCCCTCCCCCCAACAGAATGATCCTAGTTTTCTGGTTCCTCAGCACAGTGGACTTATCCTGCAGGACAGGCTGTTTGAATACAGATGTGTGATAATTTATTGCTTTAATGATCAAGCACTTAATACCTGCTGAGAGGGACACTTCTGACTGCGTGTAGGTTTTTCTCAGCTCTTCCACTGGGACGAGACCATATCTTATGTGCTCTAAAAGGCTGCTTGCATGATCCAGTCTGGATTTATCCTGCTTCAGCCACAGCAGCACAAGATTCAACAGGCGGCTTTCTTTCACCATGGGGAGATCTGGTGATTGAATCACTGCTAGTAAAGACTTGAAGTTCAGCTCAAGAAGTCCTGACAAATCCAAGTCCAGCAGCTTCCAGACATTATTGATAATGTATTTTTCTGTTGCTGCTAAGGCATCTGGCAGATAGAACTTCCTGGCCACATTGGCAGAGAAGCAGCAGTTTTCCAAGGCAAGATTGTTGATTAAGTACTGATTGCACAAACTGATAGCATCCGTCACTTGCAAGTAGCTTGCAGCTTCCAAAGTGTCCTCCAGGCTTTCAAAGGAAAGGGGCAGCAAGGACGTGTAGATGAAATCCAGGATGTGCTGGAGACCAGTAGGTGAGACAACTTGCAGATGAATGACACTGGCTTTAGACTCTTGGGTATAGCTTTTGAACATGGCTCGGAAGTAGTCGCTGGAGCATGCCAACAAGGACTTGTGTGCAGGGAACTCGTTTTCTTTCACTTTCAGCAAAATATCACACAGAAAGCCCTCTGATCTCAGGCTCTGGTACTGGGCAAGCACAGTGGTGCAGTGTGCTTTACAGTAGGACAGGAAGTAGCTCATGGTAGAAAATGCAATGCTTTCCCCTTGAGTTATTAGAGCTAAAATTCAATTAGATATTGAAGCAGCTGCCTTACTCAACAGCCATTGCTTGAATGCCCAGCAGACCTCCAGCTGCTAGAGAAAAGCCCAATCAAATAAAAAAAAACCAAAACAAAAACAAAAAACTCAGTCTCTTGCCTGGCATAGAGGGACAGTTAGTAGATTTGTAGTGAATTCAATGCATTCCTTTATAAAAAAACCAGCTGAATGTTATAACAGCTGTAGGATGCTTACTGTTCTCGCCTCCACAACTTGTGCAAGGATGAAGAGTCCGTGGTTGTGCTGAGCACTTTCTTGGCTGGCCATCAGGTGACAGATGAGGGAGCTAGATGACAATCCCAATAAATGGCCCTTCGTGTCTGCTCAGCTGTGGCCCCCGACCCTTCTTGCTCCACAGGCAGATCAAATTGATCCTCTCCGGCTGCCAGCACGTGGCTCTGAGCAGACACAGATGAGAAGAGAGTGGTGGCTTTTCTCCTCTTGTTTGTGTTTCAAGCTCCAGCCAGCTTAGACCTCGTCACCCCTAGGACAGGAGCTCCCTTTTCGTTCTCTTTCCACAGTGTCTTGGGAAGCCTCAGCTGAAGATCAAATCAGTGCCCAGGGATTATTATGGCAGCATTTTCTAAGCCCATAAATCTCTCTCCGGCAGGCAATAAGACAACCAAAATACCGTGATTAGTCACTGGTTCGATTTGACATGCATTTCTGGGCTCTCTGCTTCACGTGACACCTCCGTAACTCACAGCTACCAGAATAGCCACAGGCTCATTCCCTCATCCCCCTTGCCCAGGAGCCAACCCTGGGCAGGTCTGGGCGGGCGGACGGAGGAGCTTCCACTGACAGCCACAGCCAAGGCAGCTGACTTGGAATGACCTGGCTGGAAATCACAAGGGTAACACATTCGCACAAAGTGGTGACAAAAATAGATTGCCCCAGTTCAGCCATAATAAACCAAAATCTGTTTATAGAGGAGGCTTTGCATAATTGTGCTCTCAGTTAACAGCTGGGAACAAACCCGGAACCCCCAGGGATGGGCTGGAGCTGTCTCACTCAGCTTTCTCACTTTCAGTTTGTCCCAATTAGAAACACTTACACAGGGATTATCCCTGATTTTCACCTGGGTACTTCAGGGTCTAATTTCTACCAGGAATAGCAGCTCGGGGCAGGCTACACATTCTGACCTCTTAAAGCTTGCTTTTATTTTTTCTTTTTTTCTTCTGCATAACTCTGGGTGCAGATGTTCAGGAATCTCCTCCTGACACCTTTCTTTCCAAATCAAACACCCTCAGGACTTGCAAACTTTGCCAGGGTTGATAAATGCCAGATAAGTTCTCTGCATCGTAAGCCAGCAGACTTGGGGGAAAAAAGAGGATCCCACAGGACTGAAAAATACCACCGTTTGCTCAAGCCCAAGGTAAAGCCTTTTTACTGTATTTGCTTATATTTCTTTATGTGGTGTCATGAAATTGTGGCTTACCCCTGTAATCAAGGGGTGTTTCGGAGCTGACTGGAGCCTAATGTGGATCATGCATGCTGTATGACTGTTCTAGTGAGCTTGAGCTGTCTTGCTAAGCAGACTGATACCTGCACATGATCTGCTCTGTTTGTCAGGAAAGACTACAAAAACATTGTTCTTCATTGCTGTATAGTTCTGAAAATTGATTTCCTGCTTGAATCTACTTTCTATAATGACATTATAGACCATAAATGGGGATTTTGTTAAAAGATCTTCCCCTTTGTTAGCAAAATGACATGTACGGGCAGCAGTAATAAAGGAGAAAATGGATGCTTGTTTCTTTCTCCAAGTGGTTTTGCCTATGTCCAAGTTGGGACGATGCTAAGATATTTCAGATGTTAGCAAAGCTGTGCAAACAAGCTTATGTTTGATGCTTTCCTGTTTGAGAGGTAGAGACCAGAGACCAGGTAACTCTGTCACCCCTGAGCAGTCATATGTCCTCTGATGAGGGACCAGGCCTTAAATGCTCCCGTTCCTAGAGATATTGCTTTCCCCAGTTTAACCCCATAAGGTACCAGATTTCAATAACACGAGGTGCAGATAAACCTCTGCTGTTTTCAAACAGCAGGGAGCTGCTGTGCCATCACAGTTTCCCTGGGAGCCTGGAGGTGAGGCAGGGGAGCACAGGGGCTGCACCCGCAGCACAGGCCTGAGTTTGAGGAGTGTTTCGGCAGCAGTTCTGGCATACGCATCTCCTGGCATCACCTCCTCCTCACCAACAGACTTTATCCTCTATCAGCCCTTCACTTGTGCTGCCACGACTGCTCTGAGGTGGGAGGCTGGGAGGTGACACAGCCAGGAAGTGATGCACAAAGAGGAATGAGGAAAATCCAAAAATAGAACAGCAGAGAGGTCTCTGTGGCCAAGGTCAGGCCCTCAGCCTTCCTCACTGTGTGACCTCCCAAGCAGATGTAGTGCCCCAACCCACAATGCAGCAGAGGTGACCCACTGCTGAGCAGTTGGCTGGGGACCCACCAAAGGGAGAGACCCTTACCACAGGACACCCATCTGATGCACAGAAACCAGGCTGGTCTACTCTTGAGCCATGTCCAACAGCTCGCCAGAGGTGCTAGAGCGTGTATGCTGGTATTGCAAGGTAGCTGGGACTGAGTACACGTAATTAAATCCTGCTTCCCCTAGATCTAGGTGTACCAGAAAGAAGTCAGAAGTATGGCTTGGCCAACTGAGGGTATGGCCAGCAGCAGCCAGTATTAACTCCTCCACCAAGTGGTGCTCTCTCAGGCAATGTGCCTTTTCCTCTCCCTCAGCAAGGCCAGGCCAGGCATTGATCAACCTTACACCGACTTTGCTGGCACTTGTGAGGTGCCAGCACAGCTCCAACTGCAAGCTCTGTCACTTCAGTGAGGCCAAGCGATGCTCAATCTGAATGTCCCTTCCAGTCCCCAGAGTGATGCTGTGTTAACCAAACCTATCGTTCACCACTTGCTTTCCAAATGAATTCCATACATGGGTTGCCATTTATACAGGTCAGTTGCCAGCACTGATTTCACTGAACTGATTTAATACCAATGCCGGATAAGCAGGTCCTATAATTGTATGCAGATTTGTTGTGCTATTCCCTCTCAGACCTGCTTCATCTTCATGGGAAGCTGGCTAATAGGAGTAGTGAGAATCATGATCCTTATAAAGTTGTTTATTTGTCTGGAGATTTTTTTTTCTTTGGCTTATAATTGAAATAAAGCCACATTCTTTCCAGTCCCCTGCTCTAGAGTGACAAAAAAAAAGATTATCATTATCAAAATGAGTTTTCTCCCTGCTCCATTTTTAGGCAGTTAGCCTTGTCTAACTAGGGAGCCTGCTCAGCCAAGACCCTCCTTTGTCAACAGACAAATTATCTTCAGGCAGCAGCTCAGCTCTTCAGCACCTTTGGAGGAATATTTAATGTCCATTAGTAAGAGAGCAGACAGTGACTAAACAGCTAACTTACGGATCTCAGCAAGAGATCTAGCATAAGGAGGGATGCAGTCAAACCATGTTCTTATTCTCCTTGGCTGCAATTTGGAAGATCAGATCTAATGTTAGACTCATTAGATGGTACATAAAATTAGGAAAATATTAGTGTTTCAATGATGTTGATTTGTTGGGAATAGATAATATATTTTTAATCATGTGTATCATTTAGACTTTAGATTTAGACTTCAGGCTTTCAGTATATTTTCTGTTCAAGTCATTGCTCTACTACAGTAGGCAGTCTGCAATAAAAAAGAATATTCAGAGGTGTGCTGTGGAAAATGTTGTCTTCCAGGTTTGCAGTTATTTTTTTCTTATACGAAGCTGAAAAATGGCCCAAATTGCAATGACGTGTTCAGTTTAATATTGCAAGTAGGCCATCAGTTAATAAACAATTCAGCTACTATTGTAAATTTCCCAACATTTTTTTCAAGAGTAAAATTATAAAAGGAGTTGTACAAGTAAAATTAGACTCACTAGTAATAAGTGGCTTACTGTAAAATATTCATTACAAAAATCCACAGCGGATGATTTCTAAGCTACATTTTGTTCCAAAAGAAATTAGTGGAGTCTGGAGGACAAGAGAATAAATGCTTAGGATGCTCCATAATGTACCGCATGAACAAATATAGCAAAAGTGAGACAAATGATGAATGTAATAGGGATGATGTAGCATACAGGTTTTCTAGAAACTACCAATCAGAAAGATTGTATTGAATTAAATTGTCTTGGAGAAATCTTTGGACTAGAGTCTGTTCTTCATCCTTGAATAATCATTCACAATAGTATTTGGGTCAGCCCATCTATTTAAAGCAAAGGATGTTTAGCTGAGGAAAGCAGTCCTTAAGAACAAAACAGTAAGAGGGAGGAATTTTCTTGCATCTAAACGCAATATCTGGTGAGATTATGTCTGTTTGTAAAAGCAAAAGAAAGTTAGCAGCTTGGACGAGGTGGGTTTAGGCCATGGGGTTTCCATTTTGGCGGGGGAGGCTGGGGATGCATGTGGCTTTAAGCACTGTCTGAGTGGTGCCCACCAGGACACTCTGCCCCTGTGAGCTGAGGGAGCAGGAAATCAGCATGAGGCAGTGCACCCACCAACTCACCAGACAAGTCTGCAAACCCTCAGCACACTGTATCCATCCATGTGCCACCTCAGAGGAGTCTGTGTCTGGGGACACTGCTGGCAACCAGAGCTTTATCTGAGTGCAAGCCTCCATCTGCCACTGGGTAGAAGAGAGGTTTAACATGAGCAGGAGTCAGAGCAGGGATCCCAGCCAAAGCCTGCTGCAAGACCACATCTGCTAAGCCATGGCTGCATGGCAGTTTTCTGTGGTTCAGTGGAAAAGAGGAATAAAGGAGGAAATACGACTGGCACACCTGGGTTGGAGGTGGCCATGTCCCAGCTGGGTTATTCTAGCACTAACTACACCTGTGCGAGAAAGCATCCTGTGTCAAACTGTGAAACATGAAATAACAAACTTCCAATCAGCCGGTGCCTCATTTGCTTCCTCTTCCTTTTTTTCAGGTTTCCTTTCATCTGCCTCCCATGAAGACAGATGTTACAGCTTCCATTGTCCTCTCAATGGATTAGACATGAGCTTCCCTGGTGAACAAAAAACAAGTTGGAAAAGTTTTTAACTTGGATTCCTGTTTCAGAGCAACTGCAGTGGGATGAGTCAGGCACTGCAGCTGCAGGATAATGAAGGAGAATGTGTATTTTAATGAGCCCATTTCAGAGCAGATGTACTAATGGCCTTCACAGCACTTCACAGCTGAGGATGGAAGGCTGCTTGGGGTTCGCCTGCTCCTGTGATGGCCAGGTGGCACCAGAGATGCTCTACATTGAGCCCTGGCTTTCCCCTGCTGGGCAGCCAGTGCTACCTGTGCTGCTGGTGGGGCAGAGAGGGACCTGCAGCCCCTGCCCAGGAGTGCCTTCACTCTGCATCCAGCTCAGGGACACCCACAGCCACCTGTGGCTGCTGCCTTTGCTCAGCAAAGACACGTGCAGTTCTAACTGAAGTGGCTCTGCTCATTGGTCACTTCTGCATGCATGGAAGCCCTCCTGCTACAAAAGCAAGATTTCTGACCCCCATGCAACACTCCTGCCTCCCAAAGACTTTGGGGCTGGTTGAACTGAATTTCCAAACTTTATTTGCTTAAGTACCTGTAGTGGCAACAGCTGCAGCTTCAGGCTGTATGACCACTAATGGCAGAAGGGCTGGGCTTTCACTTTTGTCTGCGGTTGGATACACCCACTCACAGCAGCTCCCAGCTCTGTCCCCACTGCAGGTAACCTAGTCCACTGTGAC